AGCCTTGTTAATGTACAATTTATGTTCTCGAAGCTTCTGAAAGAGCTGTTTAAGATGATTCACATGTGTTTCTGGAGATGTTGTAAGCTAAGATATCATCAAAATACACTAGACAAATTTTTCCCAAAAAAGATTTCAATACCTCATACATCAACCTCATGAAGGCACTTAGCGCGTGGCATCATCCGAATGACATGACTCTCTACTCATATAATTGTTTTCTATTTATCTCACGGACATATTTGAATTAGGTGATGTCCACTCCGTAAGTTCAATTTTGAATACATCACCATTCCATAAAATCTGTCTAGTAGATCTTTAGGGTGTGGCATTGAAAACCTAAATTTAGTTTTTATACTATTGATTGCTAGACTGTCAATACACTTTCTCCATTTTCCATTTTCCTTTGCAAAAATTATTGCAAGCAACGCATAATGGCTCTAGAAGTGTCTCATAAATTATTTCTTTAAGAGAACATCTATAATTTCTTCGAAGATTAGCTGTTCTTTTAGGCTCAAATTATTTGGAAGGTTGGGTAGAATCAAACCCATAACTAAATCAATCTATTGTTCTATGGTTGTCATGGGTGGAAGTTAGTCGGGAGGCTCCTTGGGGGTCAATTCATGAAACTTATGCAATAATACTTGGCTAGGAGGTAGAAGAACAACATACATTCGAGCTTCGACTTTGTATTCTTGCAACAATCTAGCCTTTGAAATAGATAGAAAAGCCATTGTATCAACCGTAAGCTCCCTTTGGCCAGTTTTGGTTAGTAGTAGTCTTAATTTTTTCCTCTTTCATTCGAGCATATAGGCATTGGCTCATTTGTTCTGCACTATGATACACGCACACTTCTAATTAATGAGTCGTACAGTGTCGGACATGTATCGAACACGGACACGGCTCTTGACATATAAGTGTCTAATTTAAATAATATTAAAAAAAGATAAGCGTGTTTTAAATTATTGAACTAAAAATTTATGAGAAATATTTTAAGATTAAAATTAAAATATATAACTTTTATGTAAAATTGAAGAAAATTTTACATACATTTCAGTCAAATTTTATTTATTTATATATTTAACACCTAAATTTCAATTTTTACACATATGATGTCTTACATATATATGAAAATTTATATTTCACTTTTTAAAACTAAGGTCTTGTTAGAGATCACTTTCTATTTTCCATTTTTTACTTTTGAAAAGAAAAACAAAAAACAAACTCAAGAATAGTGTTTGTTAATTTTTTTTTTATTTTCTTTCTTTAATTTTGTTTTTAAAACACACAAGGCTTATTTTCAAAACATCAAAAATACAGAAATTGTATTGTGGTTATTTCAAAATCATGTTTTTCGGAACATTACTTGTGTGAGGCTCTGTATAC